GTGGGTGCGGGCCCAGATGAGCAGAGCAGAGCAGAGGCTGGCCCACCCCTCTGGGAGGACGCTGAGCCATCCAAGAAGCTCCTGTGGGCCCAGGGCTCCAGCTCTGGCTCTGTCGGGGCCAGGGAGGTGTACTGGGGCGTGGGGGCGCCAGGGGGAGGGGCACACCTGTTCGGATACCTCTTCCTCTCTGCCTGCCTTTCCCCTGCCTGTGTGGCCACCAAGGGGATATGGGCCTCAGGCTCCCAGGGCTCTGGGCGAGGTCGTGAGGCAGGAAGGAGAGAGGGATCAGAGGTGAGCAGGTGGCTGGGGCCCCCGGGCTGAGGCAGAGTCCAGGCAGGTGTTTGCTGCAGAGGCCACGCTGAGGGGCTTGGGCCCAGAGCAGCAGGGAGTGGAGGCCTGCCCTGGGCTGCAAGAGGCAGGGCCGGGCTCGCACCTGCCAGGCCCCTTGGAGACTGCAGTGTGTGACGGGGACCCACGGTGTGGGGAGAAGGGCTAAGCTCACCTCGGGGTTCCACTGTGTGCTGGCGGGCACGCACCAATGCCTCTGGGACTGGCCACGCGGTCAGATGGCGGCAGAGAGAGCTGAGGGTGGTCAGGTGGGTGTGGGGGTGGGTCTGACCTGGCCTGCTGGGTTAGGGCTGGAGGGCAGCCAGGGGCCGTGATCACGGAGGTGTGGCACCCACACCCCCTGCCCAGTATCTGCCCTCTTCAATTCACATTGTTTTCGACAAGGATTTTCTTTATCTTCCCCACCATCAAGCCAAGGGAGGGGCGCGGAGTGGGGAACAGGACACCGGATGCTGATCTCCAAGGGGACTGTCCACGGACAGACACTCAGAGTGGACCCTCACCTGCCTGTCCACGGCTGTGCTCAGGACAGCTGTCTCCACCCATGGACACAGGGTAAACATCCGCCAGGCTCCCACGGCCTCGGGCAGCGGCGGGGCTCGCCGTGGACAGTGTGTGGCCCGGCCATCCTCACCTCCTGGGGCCGCCTCCCCTCCTCTCCCACTCACCTGTTATCTCCACGGAGCTGCCTGTCTGGGATAATTTGGGGATTTTTTTTCTTTCTGGGGGATAGTTCTTTTGCATGACCCGTCATGAGCAAGCCACACCCGCTCTTCTAGCTAGATGTCCGCGGTGTGGTGGCGTCGGCCGGCCCGCCCTGCAGAGGGTCGGCTGCCCGCGGTGCTGGCCGGCCTTTCCTCTTCTCTCTTTTTGCTGAGTTTCATTGTCTTTTCTTTCTGAGCCTTGTAAGTGTACAAAATTATTATTTTGTTCTGTCTCGGGAAACTGCAAATAAAAGAAAAACAGGATACACTCCCTCAGGTGCATCTGGGTGCTCTGTGCCAGGACCCAGCCGACCCTCCACCGTGTGGGCCCCGGGTTGGCCCAGGCTGCAGGAGCCCCGGGTCAGGCCTTCCCCAGCCCATCTAGGGTGGACAGCAGGCCCAGGCGGGGCCTCTCTGTGCTGCTGCAGATCACAGCCCTGCCAGCTGTCTCCACCCCCTCCTCTGATCCCCCCCGAGTCCTCTGTTGGCCTTGGGCACCAGAACCAAAATGACCCCCAACCTCTCCAGTCACCCTAGTGGCTTCTGAGGACTGATCTATGTGGGAAGAGCCCCAGGACCCAGCCCCTCTGCTCTGTTGAGTCTTTCCCTCCACCCAGCCGCTCTCCGTGCGTGCTGCACTGGCTGCAGATGCTTGGGACACATGGTGCCCACAGCTACCCCTCCACTGCTCCTTTGGGCCTGCACGCTGGGTTGGGTAGACGGTACACAGGCCAGCATGGATGTCAGACACCGACAGGAGCAGAAGAGTGGTGGCTACTGGGATGCAAAGATGACACTGAAGGTGACAACGGAGGCCCCCACAACAGAAGCCCAGAGCAGAGATCTGGGGGACAGCGAGGTGCCAGGAACAGAGGCTCCCAGACAGCCCCAGACTGGAAGGAGGGAGGGAACGAGGGCCCAGGGTGGGCACAGCCAGGCGCTCCCCACCAGGTCTTCCCTCTGCAGCCTGGCCCCAGCACAGAGGGACACGTCACCCAGCTGCCCACTGCACCCCTACAGCTCGGGGACACATAGCCTGCTGGGCCTCCCTCGGGGACGCTGACCCTCGGCCTGTCCCGGATGAGTTGGTGCTGGCCTCATGGCTGCCTGACCACCTGACCATATTGCCGCACGACCACAGAGCGGCCTGAGCGCAAGATGCATGGCTGCCTGGCTCTTCGGACACCTGCCCTCATGCCACGCACACCCAGGCCCAGCCAGGTGAGAGCTGCCGTGGCCTGCCTGTGCTCTGCTGGCCCTTCTGCAGGCCTCTGGGCCTTCTCCCTCCTGGGCAGGCCCTGGGCAGCCCTGCCTGTACCCCAGAGGCACCCGCATGTGGAGACGGGCGGCTTCCCCTCCGCACCTGGTCCCCAGGTCCTCCTGCTGCCTGTCTGTACCTTACACCTTGGGCTTGCTTAGGACAGAAATATGGGCTTCAAAATAATCCTATACACCAAACACACCCACCCCGTGGGTCCAAGTGACTTCTGGTGAGATGGGTGTGGCCTGGGGCCTGCTCGATCCTGTCCACTAGGGTGGGACAGGCCTTGGCCTCCAGCCTCAGAATCTGGTTGCAAACACTTTCAGATGGGCCAGGAGGCCCTCGACGCCAGCTTCTTGCGGGGTCACCTGGCAGGGGCTCTCAGGTGTGCTGGCAGGAGGGAGGGCTGTGCTGGGGAACACCGCGGCGGACCTGAGAGCCAGGCCAGCGCAGAGAATCTAGGACAGAGCCCGCAAGTGGAGAGACTGTCGCCGCCGCGGTATCTAGAGCTTCACTCATCTATCAGCTGTAATCGGAGGAGCCTTTCCAGGCCAAGCCTCCCTCTGGGCACCCGCCACTGCCCCGCCCTGCCCCCACTGTGGATCCCGAACCCCGAAGTGGGCCAGCGCTCGCAAAACCCCCAGCAAGGCCAGGCACGGCAGGCAGAGGTCAGGGAGGGGGACTTCCCATTGTCTCTTTTAAACAGCACCTGCTTTGGGCAAAGCTCCCTGGGCCCTCAGTGGACCCCATGCCCTGGGCGGTCCTCTGAGCAGGAAAAGCCAGAAATCCCATGCTGCTTCCGATGCCAAGGGCCACGGTAAGGCTGAAAACAAGGGCCCAGGCGGCAATGAAACAGGCTGAGCAGTGTTTGCAGACCCTCCAGTGACCAGCCGCCAGGCTCGTTTCCTGAACTAGGGCCAGACTCAGCCTCCCGGGCCTGCAAGGATCCGAGGAGCACAGGCCGCCGCCCCAGCTCCCACCTGTGTGGCCCCGGCTCTGCGGCTGTGAGGTGGCTTTCTGGGTGGGCTTCCTGGCTGTATTGACGCCTGGGTCACAGGATTCAGACGGCAGGGTTTCTTTCTACTCTGGGGCTCTGTCACCGGGCTCCTGCTAGGAAGACCTGAGAGGAGGTCACAGCTTGGGCCTGGGGCACAGGGGAGTGGGGGGGACGGGAGGGCCAAGGTACACGCTGCCTCCCTCGGACAGGAACTACCCAGATTTTGGTGGTCCCCACACCCTGCAGGTGCACAGCTCGGAGGCGCAGGGCCCCCAAGGAACGGGTCCCTGTGGCTCAAACAAAGCACAGGACGATTTCGGAATTTCAAAAGAAAATTTTATCCAGACAGGAACTTCACAGACTGAACACAGAGGAGTTAGGCGACAGTTATTAAAATACACTCTTTACCAGATGATTTAACATTAGAACAACAGGAGCTGGGGAAATGCTGGACATGGAGTCTGGGCCAGTCCCACCCACCCTTGCCGCCCTCCTCCCCCAAATCCACACCCTCCACCCCCAGTCCCTCCCCAGTGCGAGGGAAGTCAGACAATATCCAACCGTTCCTCAGGGGAAGTCACGGCCACATCAGATGCCAGCGAGCAGGCCAGGGCTGCACTTTCCAGGGACGTCCGTGGCATAAGGAAGTCACGTGGGCAGGCTACCTTAGGGGTAGGCCGAGGTCCTCTGGCCGGGACAGTGCCCACAGAAGGGCAGTCGGCAGGCTAACCTCTTAGGGGTGAGGTCCTTGGAAGCCACGCGGTTCCCACCTTCTGGCCCAAGTAAGGGAATTCAGGGCCACTGGCACTCCCTGTCAAGGCAGCAGGACCTCCCCGGTAAGGCAAGAACGGGGCGCTCAGAGAAGGCCAGCCAAGGACGAGCCCACACTGGTCGGCACCAACCCAGCAGGGCCTTCCATGGGGATGGGGTCCCAAGGGCACATCTTGAGCTTGTGTCCTCAGGAAGCACAGCAGGCCACGATGCAGTTCGGAAAATGGCAGCGGGGCCTGAGGGACCAGGTTGGCCCAGACCCTCCCGGGCCTTCGTCTGGTGGCTCTACTGTGCCTGCCTCCATGGCTGGGCCCTAGGGCTGCCGGCCTCACGCTGCTCGGGGGCCCAGCAATGCTTCTGCTGGGGGTTGAGGCTGGCTCAGTCCACAAGTGGGTTGTGACGAACCCCTGGGCTGGCTGGCACCTTCTCCTGGCGCCCAGGGACGGTGGCCACAGGAAAGGCCACTTGCTAAGACATGAAGGTCCCTGGTGGTTGTCCAGACAGTCCTGTCACCAGAGAGGCCAGTGAAAACCGTTTGTGAGAGACTACACCACGTGCTGCTGTGATCCAAGAGCTCAAAGCCAAACCGCGAGTCAGGGCAGGCGCCCCCTCCCCTACTTCAAGGCATCTTAGTGGCACTTGATGGATGGGCACTGCAGAAGTCAACCTCAGCCGAAATGCAAACCAGGTCTCAGCGTCTGTGAAGCCGGGTGACCGTCTCCTTCCACTGTGTGTGCGCACACCCCCAACCCCTGCCCCCTGCAGCGGCTTTTCCCCGAGAGAACCAAGTCCCAGCTTTCCCGCCCCAGCTCTGTGATCAGCACCCACCCTCCCCCGCCACTGGAGTGTTAATACAGTTAATGAACAAGTAAAACCCAAAGGCGCACTGAAGACAAAGGGCTGGCTCTGACCCCCGGGGGCACCACGTCAGGGGCCTGCGTCCTTCTCAGGGGGTTAGAAACGAGCCCCGCACCAGCTACTGGAGTCACTGAGCTTTATGGGGGCCTTTTGTACACCTTTGGGGGCCTCAGATCATCTTTTCAAAAATTACTAGACATGTGAATTTGAACGTTCCCCACCCCCAGGTCCCTTCCACCACCCTTCGGCTCCTCCCAGGAGCTCCAAGGTGAAAATTGAGCGTCTGTCCCCATCCGGGTCGTCCCCCGGCAGCTCCGCTTCCTGGGGGCTGCACTGCTGATGTGAATGACGGTGACGCTCCAGCGCAGGGGCTTCCGCCGGCTGCCGTCACATGATTGCACAGCACGAGTTTTGTTTCCGGGCCTTGAAAGAGACAAAGGGGAGCTGAAGAGGTAGACCTCGGCACGCACGGCACCGCGACCCCCTCAGGGATCAGGCGGCTTAAGCGGGGGCTCTGGGAACCAGACCACTGAGTCAGACAGAGGCCCTGGAACCACCAAGGACAGAGAGAAGTAACTGGCCCGTCCTCAACGCCTGGAGGGAAGCTGTCCAGAAGCAGCTCACAGCCCCAAGGTCATTTTGTCCACCCCTAATGCTATCAGTGGGGAAGCCAACCTCCCACTGTTAAGCCAAGTACAGAGAAACCAATAATGAAAGTCAGCTGAATCTCCTCCTCTGCCGCAGCCCTGTCTCCCCATGACGCCATCTGGCCCCATGGAGAGTGTTTTTTGCTGAGCGTGTCTTCAGAAAGGTCCCCACTTGGTTTGGGTGGCTCGTTACCTTCCCTCTCGCTTCCTGTTCAGATACCCCAACCCCACTGGCCAGCTCCCGCCAAGGCACACCTGAAAGCAAACGCGTGTGGATGGACCTGGTACACGCAGCGCACCCACTGTTCAGTGAAATACCTCATCTGGGAGTGTGAGAACCTCTCTGGGAAGACTGTGTAGCTGCTCTGCAGACAGCAGGGACGAGGACGAGGGTGAGCCCCTGGGACAGAACCCGACTCCACCGCCTGCCCTCCCTGGGGAGCGGCCCGGACGCAGCGGGGAGCAAGGCCTCTGTAACCCCCCTCGGCTGTCACCGCTCGTCACTGAGCATCCCGAGGAAGGCTCGCTTAGTGGGAGCGCTCGGCCACTGCTCGCGGAAGGGGTGCCCGGGAGCGGCCGGGCCGTACTCACCGTCTTATAGAAGGCTTTAGACTGAATTCCCAGCACTTCGGATTTGGACACCAGATCATCTAGCTTCTCGCCTCGTTCTAATAAAGACTCCATGGTGTTGTGCTGGACAGAAGGAAAAACAGAAAAGAACGCTCTGCTCTGTTCACAAAGTGAGTTGACACCAGCCCCCCCCCCATGAAGTTCAGTCACAGGAAAGCACCTCCTTTGGGCTCCTCTCCCCGCCACACGAGCATCCAGACACAGCGTTCCCAGACCCGTGGAGGAGACAGGACCTAGTGACCTCCCTGGAGAATCTAGAAGGTCCTGACTGGGACACAGAGCACTTCCCAGAAAACCCTCTGCAGCACAGGCTTAGGTACCCACACTCTATGAGGGGATGAGTGGTACTTCTGACACCTGTGTTTATGCACACACACGCCTACCGGACAGACTGCTTCCTGCCTCCCTCCGAGGCAACTGTGTTTAAGAGCCATTACTAACAACTCTGTGAGAGCGTCTCAGCACTTAGGAACATAGACAGACCCTTCCCGAACGGGTGAGGGATGGAGGCCCCCAGCAGAGCTCCCAGCCCCGCTGCCAGGGCCATCAGGCAGTGGCCAGCTCGTTTCCACCCCAGATGGCCGCTGCCACAGCGCTGCAAGCCCTCAGAGGCCCCTTCAGAGCAAGTGGCACGAAGCTAGGTACGCACAGGTGAGATGACACAGAATGAGGAAGGAGCAAAAGTGTCCTTTATCACTACACACAGCTGCGCAACTCAGGTTCCCACCATAAAACGTTAACTGGATTGGGTGCGAATGGGCTAAAAGGAAGCATGACCAGTAATCCAGATTTTACCACTGGGACTGGGTGACCAGGACCGATCTGCTCTCTGCAGTGGGGAGAGAAGGAAAGGCAGAGAGTGGGGGTCCCCGGCTCTGGGCTGCCCAAAGCTTATTAGAAAATGTGGAGAAATACACTAGGAAAGACAGAGAGATGCCTGAAAACGTTCACATCTAACTTTTGTTCCAAAGCCCCCAGACACTACTGGAAGCATGGTTCAGAAGGCAGGCTTGGAGCCCCGGAAGTGCTCTTCACAGGACGCAGCAGCCTGGGCCCCGCCCAGACCCGAGTCCAACCCCAGGAGATGCTGACGTGCAAGAAAGCGGAGCCAGGGTTGGTAGGAGTTTTATATTCGGGGCAGGGTTTTTCTGGGCTTAATGTCCACCCACTTCAGTGTCCACTAATTGCTGGGCATTGGTTTTTAAGCCCTAACCCCAAGCCAGGCGTTGTTCTGTGAGCAGGGCTGTAAACAGAAGGACAAGCTCCCAGTCCTGCGAGCTCCCCACTAGTCAGGGACTCACATAAACACGTAGTGACAATGCAGTGACGTTCAGAAAGGGTACATCCTCCAAGTGCTCGGGAGGCCTGAGCGTGGGGCGCCTGCGTGGGAGCCAGGCAGGAAAGGGTGTGAAGGGGCACGGGGTCATGAGGCCTTGTCAGGGAGTCTGCACTTTATCCTAGAGCTGATGTGAGAGCGGCTCCAAGGAGAAGACTGACAGATCAACAGCTACTGTCTGGTGGGCAGACGGGAGGTAGGGGGAAGCCAGGAGGCCAGGCAGAGGCAGAGGCCACAGGGACCAAATCCTAGACTGCCTGACTGCCAAAAGTAGCTCACAGTTTAAAAAAAAAATTCGAGATTTGCAAATATTAACTACTATATACAAAACAGATAAACAACTTCTTCTGTACGGCACGGGGAACTATATTCAGTATCTTGTAGTAACCTATAGTGAAAATACATGAAAACAAACATATATATGTATATGCATGACTGAAACATCACGCTGTGCACCAGAAATGGACACGTTGTAACTGACAATACTTCAATTAAAAAAAAAAACTGAAGCAGCAATTACAAACCAGGGATTTCAGGTAAAAACGTACAGATCCCGCTCCTCTAAAACAGGCCTATCTGACAACTCTGGGCCTGTATTTAGTCAGAGTGGGTGAGACCGAGACCCTGAAAGAGAGGCACCTGCCGGGCTGTGAGTCAAGCAGGCACCGGGGGGGGGGGGCAGAACATCAGAACTCAGACCCCTGGAGCCCGGCAACTGCCCAGACAGGGAGCCGGGACGGGGAATGAGGGCTGCACTGGTTCCCAGCTCAGGCAGTGGCTGCCGTTAAACGGGACGGGGGCCGGAGGGACAGACTGGGGCTGCCTGAGTGAGCCTGGCTTTGAGGCCTCTGACGCATGGGGTGAGGGGGGCAGTCACCACTTTCCGAAAAGTGCTTCAGTTACAATTCAATTCAGGCTGTGCGTGCCTGAGTGCTGGCAAATCTGTCTGCCCCTCTGTTTTCAGACTTGCTCTCCCACTTTCTTACTTACCAGGATGATTTTGGTCTCATCTAGCTCAGCCTGCACCTTGGTCATGGGGTCAGCTTCTCGGGGGTTCTAGGAAAGAATCAAAAATAAAAACAATGTCAGGATGGGAGTGGCTTCGTGGAAACAGGGCTCAAAACCAAGTGAGCTGGACACACTTTCAGAATTTAAACACCACAGGCTGTTTAAACACACGACAGAGAAGCAAAAGCCTGCCTGGGCGCTCAGATTCCAGGTCTCAATGTGGATCCCTGCGGTTTTCGAAGGCACGTTCAACCTCGAGGCTGTCGCCCAGAGCCACAACCATCCGGACCGCTGGCTCTCCCGCTGCACACGGCCTGGGTCAGCCTTCGTGCCCTACCTGGTATCTACTGAGGTGAGCGTCCAGGCCTGTGTACTCGATGGTAGCAGGGGATCCAATTGGCCAGTCTATCCTGTCGACTTGCTTGGAGAAGTCGTCTAGTACCTGCAAGACAGGGGAGCTCAACAACATCCCCGCCTTGGGCTCATCCAGAAGAGGCTCTCAGGCCTCCAGATCCCAGGGAGGACGGGGGAGGAGGCTGGCTAATGGCAAGTGGAAAATCTAGGTCCATGTTCCTCCTTTGTAAGTACTCTGGGAATTAAAAAGCAAGCGTGCCCAGCCTGATATGAACCTCATCTGGTGAATGATAAGAGTATTAGAATTTTAAACTACAGACTTCCACTTTTATCAGGTGATGAACTTCCAGGAAAAAGGATACCTAGCCTTCTAAATTTTCCAAAACAATTCTTCAAAAAGGTAATTATGTCCTTGGAATTTAAGCACCCACCAGATTTCATGTGCTTTTAAGCACACGAGTGCTGTGGGGGATGCGAGGCCAATGTCTTTGAGGAGTTTATCATTAGCACCACACAAAGACGCTGAAGAAGGCAGAGGCGCGGGCCCTCCTCACACCAGGGCAGAGGAGCGACTGTAACTGCAGGACGGGCCAGCAGGGGGACTCCGTGAGCAGAAGCACAGGGGTGCGGAGGAGTCTGGTGTGTGCAGGGATGGCCAGTAGAGGGGGGAGGGTGGGACATGGGGCAGAGTGTGGAGTCCAGGGTGGCTCAAAAGGAACTGAAAGTCATGACTGTCAAGGGCAGAGGCAGGAAGAAAACCGGCTAGAGGAGTGACACAGGGTGGGGGTGGGGACGAAAGTACAGCCAGAGCTGACCCGAGGGCCCCAGTCCAGGAGAGAGTCTGACTTGGGGCAGACAAGGAGAGTCGGGGTGGCACCAGGGACACTAGGGGGATGAAAGCCAGAGATGAGCGCCAGGGAGAGAAACTGGGAAGGCTCTCAGACTGCCTCTTGGTTTAGGGCGAGGAAAAAAAGGCGAAAACAGGTTGACTTCGGACACACTGTTTCATCCCTTTTAATTCCTGGGGCACTACAGTCACTCCCAGCCCCTGTCCAAACTCGCCCAGCCAAGCTGCAAACTCACCTTTTCCAGCAAGGAGAAAGCTACGCGGGATGGATACTCATTGTCAGCAACGACCACTCCCGCGAGATTGTCGTTTCTCACGTAGACGTGGCACAGATATTCTAAGGAGACACATGAGGGGTGACATGAGGACTTTAGACTTCTCACTCCCCAAATCAGTCCAAGTGTTACAGTGCTGGGCCTTCAGAGCGGGCAGGGAAGTGGCCCTGTATGCAGGACAGTGCCTGCAGGAGCTCTGCCATCGGCGGGGCCCAACACCTGCTTCAGGACGAGGAGCGGCTCTGAGGCCCAGTGTGCATGGCCAGGTGCACCAAAGGTGCAGAAACACCCCAGGCAACACGACCCCGGGGCCACGTCCAAGTCCCACCCTTGAGCTCCAGGTCAGGCTCGGCTGTGCCTTGGGAAGTGTGGCCTCTGAGGTTCTGCTGTTCCCAAACTGACAGAACCCTGGACGAGCCAAGCGGCCTCCACTTTCTTTAAAAACCCTGTTAAGAGGGGGCCCAACTCAGGAAGTCACCTCGCGGGGCCTCAGGTTTCCTTATCACGGCAACCTAGCCTGCTCCATTCTGTGGTGGGCCCTGTGGGGACGGGGCAGGGAAGGCAGGAAGCGACAAGGCCCATCCAGAAAAAAAAAGCTCGCCACTGCTGGCTGGGGTCTCAAGTATGACTGTGCTGAAGTCATCTGATTATCAAAAGGTACTTCTGCAAAACAGTCACAATCCATGGGGTTAATTTTCATCACTTTGAAAGGATTCAGAGGTGACACAGCTAACCAAGTGCCTCTAAAATAAACATGTAAAAAGTCTTCCAGGAAACCTGAATTATGAAGAAGGAAAAATAAAGGTTAAGAGGAAAAAATTATGAGTTTCCAGATTCCTGGGCAAAAATCCAAGGAGCACAGAATACAGCGCTATATCAACAGGGCTGGCTGGAAATCCCTCTCTGAGATATCCGCGACTCCAGGAGGAGATCACGACAGGCTGCTTATTGCTCCAAGACAGTTGGACCCTAATCTGAAGCGCGTCCAAGCTTCCGGGGGTGATTTTAACCAAGCAAATTAGACATCAAGGTGCGCACAGAATTTTGCGTTAACAGGAAAAGGAGGAGGGAAGAGAGAAGTGAGGAGTGGGGTCCTGGTAGCTCTCTCCATCAGGAGGTGACAGCTCCTGCTCTGAGCTCCCAGCTGCCTGAGGTGTGGCCGCGGGACCAGCAGGCACTCACGAGGGGGAGGGTCCTCTTACCTTGTTCTTTGACGGAAGCTCTGCTGCCTTTCGCCGAGCGTTCCACGATCAGTTGACTTGTGAAGGTCATGAATTCCTGAACACTAAGAAACACAACATATATTACCTGCTCCTGTCACCGTGTCGCCAGCACAACGGAAAGTGACCTCTGAGCTAATACACTAAGGAGACGCTGCTTCTTGGTTTCATTCCTTTCCCTCCCCACCTTACCAACAATAAAGCCTCTGTAAATAATGCAAACATAGGTAATTACTCATCATCACAACCATTCAAATCGTTTGCTACCGAGCTCACCCAAACAACCCACTTGCAGATTACCAGGGAATTTTCTACAGGCTATAGTCAATTTAACATTTTGGTCTGAGTATGATTTGGGACACGGGAGAAGCAGAAGCCAGCTCTTGTCCCCAAGACTCCACTAACTTCCAAGCAGGACAAAACCATGACGGCAAAACACAAGTGGCAGAAATTGTTCGGCAGAGGCCCACTCAGTCATGGCAGCGCCATATGCCGAACACTGCAATGTGACACACGTCCGCAGTGAGCGCTGGCTCTGGTGGAGAACATGGCCTCAGCTCTGCTGGGGCAAACCCATGGTACCAGCCCAGGGCACTCTGGAAGGAATGGCGGGCAAGAGCTCAGCCAAGACAATGAGATGGGGAAAGGCTTGCATGAGAGGTTGAAAGGGAAGAGGAGGTTCATGGGCCCAACAAAGAGATGTGGCCGGAATGGAACAGTCACAGGTGACAGAGGTCCAGCCGGAGGAACCAGAGTTAATAAGAAGCCTCCAACTGAAAATGCCACATAAAGGGCCATCAAAGCAAGGTCTTGACTCATGGAGTCCATGGTTGGCTCCAGCAGACCTGCACACTTCTGAAACTGCACTGAGAGCCATACGGAAGTGTGAAGGCCCCCGACTCGGGAGTGGACTTGCCTGGCTGGGGTCCGCCACTTATGAGACGTGCGACCTCAGACAAGGTACTTACTGTACCTTGCTTCATCTGTCAAAATCAAGATTTGCTCTGATGATTCAATGAGCACTTGGCACAATGTCTGGCCCAAAGTATTATTTGCTACTATTATCTTGAAAGAGTGACACAATCCAAATAATCCCTTAGAGAAAATAAGGAAATCTTTGCAGTAAGACTAGATGGAAGCGAGAAGGACTTATGAGAAAAAAAAATGCGCTCAGCTGGAATATGTGTTAAGAGACGCTGGCAGAGATGTCCCTATAGTATTGCTGTTGTGTTAGTCATCTGAAACTCGTGTGGGGATCGCAAAGCAGTGAGGTGAAACTCTTACAGTGAAATCTCTGAGGATCTTCAATATACATGGGCAGGGGAAAAAGAAGAAAAAGAATCAGAGTTAGCCAAGTACCAAAAGTTCCATCACAGAAAAACAGCGACACAGAACAGAGGTCATGGTAAAGAAAGCTAAGTACCAAGAAGGACCCAAAAGAAGCAGAAAGTTTCAACAAAATAACAAGAGAAATGGTTTGAGATGCTACCAGCAAGCCACTCTCATCAAGAACAAAACAGCCACACTGAAGCAGTAACAACAGAATCCAGATGGCAGATTCCACAACTTGGAGACTGGGTGACCACGGACACTGACTCTGTAGGGTCCTCCTCCTTTTGTGCCCGAGTCACTCCCACCCCTCTCACGAACAGGTTGGAAGGGTCTGTGGTACTTCTAACACACACCTATTGCACGAAAGCGCCTCACAAATGTTTAGAGCCGGTAAGCCCTGTAAATCCCATGCTTCCTGCCAAATCGTCAGTGTGGAACCTTTTTGCACCACTAGAACCCAACCATAAAGAGCATACAATTTGGGTTTGAGTCCTGGTTGATTTGTTATCTCTTGGGGCCTCAGTGACTCCATCCACAAAACGGGAGAGTATACCAGTATCTCTTACACTGATTTGTTGACAAGTCCCACCAGATATTATAAACGTGGCTCTTAAGCTTCCTGGGTCAGAAGCACCAAGTGGGAGTTCCTGGTTTAAAATATAGATTTCTGGGCTTCAACCCACTAGTTTAGAATGTCTGGGTGTGAACCTGGGGAGTCCGCACTTTTTCAAAGTCTCCTTATAATTTTATACGACAGAAATCTGGAAAAACAGTGATTACAGAAGTATGTTCTAGAATGGTACAAGGCTCTCTGCGATCGAAAGGGGGATGATTTCTCAGAGGCACAGTCCGCAGGCCGAGGAAGAGGCCACCACCGGGCCCCACTGCGGGAGGCCGAGCCCCGGACCTCCCTGGATTCCGCGGCCGTCTCCAACCCGGACCCCGCCCGCCGGGGCCAGCTCACCTGGACCTCTGGAAGAAGCTGAAGGAGGACACGTCGTACGCGGCTTTGAGCAGCACCACCTTGGGATCGCCTTTGTAGAGGACGCTGAGGCTGTACAGCTTCATGGCGCCGCGCCGTGGGGCCGGCCACCCGCCCGCCGCGGGACCGGCTCGCAGGCAGCACGGCGGCACCGCCCCTCGCGACCGCCGCCGGCTGCTGACGGGTTGGCAGCCGGCTTCCTCCTCCTGGCTCGGGGTCCACTTCCGGTTCCGGTCTGGGGACGCCGCCCGAGGCCCAACGGAGAGGGTTTCGTGCCCCGGATGCAGAATGGAGAGGGCGGAAACACGAGAGGGGCGGGGCAGGGTGCTGCGCGTGCGCGTTTTTAGGCCCCTCCTGGTCCTCGGTCCCCACCCCCTCCGCAGTCCTTAACCTCCCGGCGCCGTCGCTCTCCCTTTCTTCCTGGCGGTCCTGCGTCCTTTCGGACGGCTCTGAGACCCCGGCGGCGTCCTCCCTCCGAGCAGTGAGTCCCAGAGCAGCACCAGTGCTACTGCACGAAGGACTTTGATTTATGGGCGAACTGCCTTTCCGGAAAGTGTTTTGTAAATCAGATCTTTTTTTTTTTTCCCTCCAGATCTCCTTTTGAGTGAAGGGCAGGGACCTTTTCTTTAAGAGGCTCCTGCCGGGAGGTGAAGACATGCTTCTTATTTTCAGATGATCAGTTTCTTTCACGCCCTTCCCATGTTGGAGCAAATCCCTGGTCACACAGGACTCGTCATCACAAGCTTGCGGGGGTGACGGTCCTGGGCCTGCCCACCACCTGTGAAACTAACCACCGATTTTGTTTTGTTTGGTCAATGGTCTGACTAAACCACTGATTGTGGAGCAAGCTGCTGACCTCAGAGTGGCAGAGCCACTTCACCTCGAAATGGGCAGAAGTTCAGCTCCATACTGAGGGAGCAGCTTGGTGTACAGTGAGTCGGTAAACCTCATTTTACCTGAGATACTGAAATAATACTTTTTCAATGGATGGGGATGAATGAGGCTCAATTCCCTAAGGGTACCACCTCTTGGGCCCTTCTGGTTTAATTAATGGTATGTAATCAGAAAGCACACACAGCATGCGTGTGCAGGACTCACATGCATAAAAGGACCTTGGTCTTTGGAAGTTGGCAGTAAGCTTAGACAACCGTCATGCTAGAAGCAGCCAGATCTGAGATAATGGGGAAAAGATGGCATATTTGAAAAATCAACAGCATCACTATAAACATTACTCTAAATCAGGATGTCTCAACCAGGGCACTATTGATATTTGGGATTGAATAATTCTTTGTTGTGCACTGTAGGTAGCATCTCAGGCTTTGTACCCACTACATGTTAGGAGCACCCCACCCACCATTTGGCAACCCCAGAATGTCTCTGGACATTGCCAGATGTACCCCGGGGAGCAGTGGATTAGAGAACTGTTGGTCTAAATATTCCTGTGGCAAAAGGAATTTCCCACCACGTGCCCTTTCACTCAGCACCTTCCTCACCAACCCTGGGTATTTCCAAGTGCAGAGGGTGGAAAGGGCTTTTCCACACCCCCTCCGTTTTGGTGCTAAACCTCAAGGACAGAGTTTGGCCAACGCCAGGCCAGCTTCCCACAGATGTGGGCACACTTGTCTGCCAGGCTGGGTCACAGGAAGACTGCGTGGTGGGGAGCTGTCAGTGCAGCTCCATCTTGACTGCACTGACACAGTTGCCCTATAGGAGGCAGGTGAGAGCCATTTCTGAAGAAAATGCTCAGAGCCCCTTTCCCTTTGCCACTAAAGGAGGAACCAGGACAGTGCTTGGTTGGAATAGATTTAAGTGTATTCACATGCCACATAGGAGCAGCCGTCCTGAGGTTTCCCTTACATTAAGCCCTTTCCATATGTTACATTATTTAATCCTCACAAAAACAGACGAAGATATTACTAACACCGTACAGACTAGAAACTGAGATGCAGGTCAAGGAAATTGCTAGTCGAAGGCACATGTCAACCCCGAAACGTGGAACAAACGCTCTCTCACAGCCCAGCTGCATTCTTAGCAGCTCCCTCCTTCCTCTCTGGCCTTGCTCAGCCTCCATCTCCCCAGGAAGCCTTGCTCAGCCTCTTTGGTTACTAACTCCCCACGCTCATCCATCTTCTTCAAAAGCAAGACCCACCTTCCACTTCCTCACCCCAGCTATCACCCAACTTGGCTTCAGTCCCAGCAGTGCCACAAACCACAAAACCGCAAATGTGAACAAACCATTAACCTCTCTGAGTCTCTCTTTCTCTTCCATCTGTAAAACTGCAAAAATGCCCTTTCCCATAAGCATGTTGCTGGGAATGATAAGACATTATATTCCAAGCTCGAGTCATAGTACATGTTAATAAATAAGAACAATGATGATACTGTGTCTTGTTATCATTCACGACCGAAAGGAAGAGAGATTGTGGTAAGTTAGAGGCATCCTGCAGGCTGTGGGAAGCGGAGATTTGACAGTAGGCTGAAATCTGAAATCTGAGGGAGGTCTGTAGATTGCAGAATAGTATTGTGTTCTGTGTTAATTTCTCAATTTTGAGCATGGTGTAGCAGTTACATAAGAGAAGTCTTGGTTTTTAGGTAAATCCATGCAAGGACTCAGGGGTAGAGGAACATCCTGTCTGCAAGATGCTCCCAAAGGGTTCAGATCTATCTATAATATATATGGAGAGTAAAGCAAATATGGTATTCTCTTAAATTTTTTAAAAAATTTTTGGAGGGGTAGTAATTAGTTTTATTTATGAATTATTTTTTTAATGGAGGCACTGGGGATTGAACCCAGGACCTGGTGCATGCTAAGCATGCGCTCTACCATTGAGTTATACCCTCCTGCACCCTCTGCAAATATGGTAGATTTAGTCAGGATCAAGGGTAGCCAGGAGTTCACTGTGCTGTTCTTGCAGCTGTTCTGGGAGTCTGAATTACGGGGATAGAACAGACTGCACGGAAGGGGCCCTGAGGCTCTGCCTGCAGCACCTGCAGGCACAGGGGAGGCACGGCTCTCTGGGGTCCAGGCTCCCCAGCGTGTGCTGGACACTGGAGGACAAGCCCCTCTGCGGACAGAACCGGAGCAAGGCTGCCTGTGACAAATGGCCCCGGTCCCCTCAGTTCACCCTGCTGTGCAAGGCAGGCAGCCACCCTCCTTTGAGACTTTGTTCAGTTCACAAAAGGCACTCAATTTGGTTGCAACAGCAGAACCCTCTATTAGCTGCATAAAAGCCAGCCAAGGGATACACCCCAGGAGGCCCAGTCGGGGGTGGGGGGGAGGGAACCCAGCCATGCAGCGCCTCTGTCCCCGTGCCCCCTTGTCGGTCAGCCAAGGCCAGGGCAGCAGGGTTGTTTTCACAGTAAGCCTAACCCTAGCCACCACGACCCACCCAGGAAGGGGGACTTGTAAGGGGCCATTGATGCGGTCAGACCTCTGCAGGAGTTCAGAACGTCACCCGCTAAATCCGCTGCTTCGACATAGCGATCGTTTTGAGTTAAAGGCATTTGAGAAACAGCAGCTGCAAGAAGGACACTCTGAACTTCCTTGTTATTCCCGAAAGCAGGAGGTGACGCTCCCAGGTCAAAGGTGCCCTCTCTGTACCAGGAAGAGGAAGACATTCTTATCACCAGAGATGAACGGAGGCCAAGAGAAATCTGTGCAAACAAACAAGGAACAAGAAACAATAAAGATTGTCTTGTCAATTTTCCACCAAGGTATTGTTTTGTAAAGATATAAAAGCTTTCTCTCTGGTCACTTCCTTCGATCTTCACTCCCTTGTGAAGGCTCCTAAGCACATGTAAAAAAAATGTAAGTAAAACTTTTGTGCTTTTCTCCTGTCAATGTCAGTTTAATTCCTGGGCCCAGCTGGAGACCCAGAGAGAGCAGAGGAGAATTTTTCCTCCCTTACACGTCCTCAGTATCTCCCTGAGTCTAACGAGCACAGATAATGCCATCACTCAGGAAACCCAGCTCCCAGGAACGCTGCTTAACTACCACCACCGCTCACCCAGGTGTCCCGTGCGCCCACCGGGTCCTCCAGGTCACAGGGAAGCCTGGTACAGGCAGTGCTCTGCCACCAGCCGAGAGGGAACAGGGGATGTCAGAGCAGGAGAGGGCGGGGTATTCTGTGAAAAGATTTACCTGGAGGCAGTGGACAGGAAGAGATCATAGCCAAAGAACGGGGAGCCAGCTGGCAGCTTCCTGAAACAGTGGGACAGGCGCCCTCAGAACTTCCTCCCCTGCAGGGCCTTCCAGCAGCTGTATTTGTGCCACCAGGCAGCCCTCCGCTGCTCAGGGTCTACGGATGGATGTACAGCCCATGCTGGACGCATGGTCATTTAGGCCGGTGACCTGACCTGAGGAGGGCACCCTGACAGCTGTGGCCCTGCTCTGCACGGAAACTGGGCGAAAGTCTGCAGAGTAGGAAGAGACGGCCACCGTGAAAGAGGAGCTTGGTTCTCCAGACCTCCGAGAGCAGAAAAGAAAAAAAAAAAAACCACCCAAGCTGGGAGGCATCACGAAAGAAAAGTTGTGACAAAGAATTTTAAAGCTCTCATGATTGGTCCCTTAGCCCCCTCTCCACCCCACCCCTGCTGACATCCCCCCTTCCAGCCCCTTGCCTTCTCTCCCCTCTGAACCTGCCCACCCCCTGAGGCTCCCCACCCCTCTTCACATGTGGGTGCCAGGAAGTCTGAGTCAGAGTCAATCAGCACAAAACTGTCCCTACTGCCGCAGAGATTGGTGTATGGATGGACACCTGACCCAGGCCTCAGCCAATCAATGCAAGCCATCTGCTGACCATCCAATCAGAGTGAAGCTCAGGACTTTGTGTTTGACACCTGGGGGAGAAGCAATGGGACTGGTAGAGGTTAAGGGCAGTGAACCCCAAATATTATCAATACCAACTTCTGGTTAAACATAGACGATAAAGTACATTTGTTTATATGAACCCCTGGGCAAATCGTCCACTAGAATGGCACAAATAGGGTGGGAGGAAGACAGTAACTAATGGGAGATGCTAACCAGGTGCGCAGGTGTAAACTGGGGAGAGGCAGGTCAGGGATGGGGGCTTAGCAGGGGAGGGGCTGAAGCAAGGGGAGTCCTGAGGGGGCTCCCTCCCCAACCTGTTCCAGATTCTTCAGCCAGGAATGTACCACCCTCTGCCTCTCTCCAAGGAGAAAGATGCAAGACTTTCCTTTGGGAGACTTGAACGCTCAGAGATTCTGCCCCTTTGTGGCCTCC